AGAAGACCTGGCTGGAGGTACACATTTGGGAGTTGCCACCTTGCAGACTGTATTAAAGCCACAAGATTACCGAGAGAGTGAGTACTGATGGAGAAGAAAGAGGCCGAGGGACTGAGCTCTGGAGTACAAGGAGAAGAAAAGGAACCTGCAAAGGACACGAAACAAGAAGCCAAGGAGGCTGGAAGACAAGCAGGAGTTTGCAGGGTCTTGGAAGCCAGAATGAAGAAGATGGATCATGGAGGGAGTGCGCAGCTGAGTCTACGACTGCTGACAGGCTAAGAGGACACCTATGCATTCACCCCTAGCTCAAGCAACACAGAAGGGCATTCTTGGTAACCTTGAAAAGAACCGTTTCAGTGGAATAGTAGGGTGAAAAGTGAGACTGAATTAAAAATACGGAGAAAAATTAGAGATAGGCTTCCTTGGTTTACAAATGGAACCGTTTTCCTTAGGAAACCTAGGGCAAGTTTTGAGATTTTTGTGATTTGTGATTGTCATATATTCAAGGTTTGTTTCCTTAAAAATTTAAGACTTACAAAACCTGGTCGGGTTGTGAAGTCACTAAAATAAGTCTTTTCCGTAAAATGGATGGGGAAAGAACATCATTTGCCATTTGATTTTCTGAATGGTTACAGTACACAAAAGTTAAATTTTCTCCATAAGTCACATTTTTAAAAAAGATTTTATTTACTTATTTGAGAGAGAGAAAGAGAGAGCACAAGCATGAGTGGAGGGTAGGGGCAGAGGCAGAGGGAGAGGGAGAAGCAAACTCTCCACTGAGCAGGGAGCCTGATGCGGGGCTCGATCCCAGGACTCTGAGATCATGACCTGAACTGAAGGCGGCCGCTTAACGGACTGAGCCACCCAGGCACCCCCTCTATAAGTCATATTAATGTAAGAGTGCTCCACGAGGTCTGATTTACAGATGAATAATCAAACTCCTCAAACCCAATGATCGGTTTACTTGTTTATTGTGTTAACTTCCACCTTCCCTCTACTCCCATGCTGATACCATAATTAGAATGTAGACTCCAAGAGAACAGGAACCTTTTCTGTCTTATTGACCCCTGAATTTGCAGCACCTAGAATATACACTCCGGCACATGGGCAGTAATTAAATGCTAAGTGTTTTGGTTTTTTTTTTAAGATTTTATTAATTTGAGAGAGTAAGAATGAGAGAGAGCGCACATGAAAGGGGGGAGGGTCAGGGGGAGAAGCAGACCCGATGCAGGACTCGATCCCGGGACTCCAGGATCATGACCTGAGCTGAAGGCAATCACTTAACCAACTGACCCACCCAGGCACCCCTAAATGCTAAGTGTTAAATAAAATCAAACATGTGTTATGGAGGCATTTTTGGCTGTAACAACTGGGGGGTATCCTGGAGCCAGAAATGCTAATTAAGCATCCTACAATTCACAGGAGAACCCCTCACAACAAAGATAATCCAACCTGAAATGTCAGTAGTACCCAGGTTGGGGAATGCTGCCTTAGAGGAAAGAGGGGAAAGAATTAGCTTGATTCATGTAAGACTTGGGTTTGAGTCCCTGGAAGAAGAAAAGGGCCTCCAGCCCTTTTAATAGACCCTTTGGGTATATTAAAATTCAGTCAAGACACTTGCTGGCTCTCAACACAAGAACACATCTAATGTGGCTTTTAGGAATTCACTGGTGTGAACTTTTTCACTAGTGCCCCAGCAGATAAAGTCTAGGCTGCAGTGCCTGCAGAAGAACACAAAACAGTGAAATATTTCCAACAAATAGAAACTGAGGACTCTTCTGATACGTAAAAGAATATTATGTTTGTTAAGAAAAAAAATATCCCAGGAGAAAAATAAGCAAAAGACTTGATCCCTACACATCACAAAAGACTGATAAAAGGCCAAAGAATATGGAGGAAAATGCTCAACTTCATTAGTAGTCAAAGAAATGCAATGTGAAACAATGATGCATTTGTTTTTAACCCATCAGACGGGCTAGAATGAAAGAGACGACACCCACAGTGGGTGAGAGTACTGGACAGCAAGCGGTGTTGGTACAATTCCTTGGCAGTGGGATTTCAAATGATTTTTTTCCTTCTATTTTTCAACATTGCTCTTCTAAAAAATGAGCTTTTAACTTCTAAGTCATGATGCTATTGTCATCTGAAATAAAATCCCCAAATTATAGAAATACATATTACACATATATACATATAGACTTTCAATAAAACGTTATTATGCCTGCCCTAGTTCAGGGCCAACTCTTTCTGCCACCTAGCTTTCCTCCACATTGCACTGTAATCGGATCCTCCTGAAAATAAAACCGACTCTGTCACTTCCTTGCTTGAAATTCTTCAGTGGATTCCAGGGGATCCCTCACATAGGCAACATCAGGGCACCTGCCCAGATCTGACGCTCTCCAGCTCTCCTCCCTGCCCTCCCTCACACTTTTGGTTCAAACTCAACACAGTGCTTGTGACCTTTGTGGCTGCCTTGCTTTACTCTTTAATTTGCCTGGAATCCCTACAGCCCCTTCCCTGCCAGGGCACCCTGACCTGAAGTTCCTACAGTTCCCTGGGCTTACAGCCATTATTTCACTCAGCACAGAGCCTAGAAATTCTAGGCCTCTTCCTCCTTACAAACCAGGCTCTTCTTAATTTTTCAATCTGCTGTGCTAGCACACCACCTGCCTGGTGAATAGAATGCTTAACATTTAAAGTGCTTCGTTCATTACCGTGTTTTCCTAGTTCTGATACTTTGTTTCATTTTTCTTATTGTTTGATATGTTCATTATTGAATTTAGAAGTCTCTGTGGTTCTACAGACATATATTAGAATCTGAGTATCCTAACTTTTTAACTGTATCTTTCTCTGTAAGCCAAAGTTCATCCTATAAACCTTAGAAACTGACTATACACCACAATTGCATTTAAAACTAAATAAGAACCATCTCCCACTGGTGTTTTCCTTTTGAAAAGGAAAATAGCTGAAGGCTGCTGGGAGGAGGTCATCGAGAGGACATGACTGCTAGTTCATCCATGAGCTGGACTTAGGCCTTCAGAGGCTGCTCACCCCCTCCCCTGTCCTTGGAATGTATATTCTGCCCACCGTTCGCACAGTGGGAGCTGGTCCAAGGACACAGCTTCGAGAGAGCAGAGTGCTGTTGAGAGATCTGGATGGTGTATGTGACTGAACCCAGTTAAGGCCTCTTTATAAACTTTCACGATTCTGGCAGGCGGATGCAGGGATCTGCTCACCCTGTAGGCACCCAAGACAAGCCTTGTAACAAGTAAGTTCCCTTGTTTATTAAAGCCCCTACCTACCAGTCTGGAGGGGTCTGCCTCTTTCTTTGGTCTCTCCCAGCCCTCCTTGTACAAGGGCCAGTTTCAGATTATACCCAGGAAGCTCCTGAGGAGGCTGCAGACCAACAAAGGCAGTTTATAGCTTCTTCCAGAACACAGAGACAGATTTCCAGAGAAGGCAATGGCTTTGAGATAGACTTATTAAAAAGAAAGAAAAAAAGAAAAAAAAGAAGGGAGAGAAGGTAAGTCAGGAAACTTGGATACGATCTGAATTTTTAAAAATATAATTTTGGCTTTAGTTTGTGAATGTTGTCATTTTGAGGCCTCAAGGAGATTGCCTACAGGTGACACACCAACACTTTTACCTTGGTAGAAAACTTTTAGAATGTCCCATCAAATGACTAGATCTAAAGGAAACTGGTGTTTGCCCTCCTAAGTACCTGGATGTGACCAAATCAATACATCCCCTGCCAAATAGTTCTGTATAGCTTACGGGTTTTCAAATGAGGTCTTGATTATTCAGCTAATGACCAACACACATGATCACAAATGTCACCTCCCATCCTATTAAGCTTTCTAGGGCAGTATATAAAGGTGCTAATGCAAATGGATAAATTAAAGGGGCAAACTAGGAAAACTGGGAAAATAATGCCCTTTACTCATAAAAATGCTTCATTTGACCTGGAGAATTAGATATGATTAATATCTATATGCAAGTTTATATGACACCTTATTCTCATAATTTAAAAGTATACTCCAAGGGGGACCTGGCTGGCTCAGTTGGAAGAGCTTGTGACTCTTGATCTCTGGGTTCTGAGTTCGAGCCCCACACTGGGTGTAGAGATTACTTAAATAAAACTTCAGAAAGTGTAATTCAAGGCTAAAAAAGGTTCTTTTTAGACCAACGTAAAGCCACAGAACATACCTTTCTTGATCTAATCAAGATATAGTCAATACTGAAACACATGGCAACTTTTTGAAGACTTTTGAAGACGGATTAAAATAAAGGGAAGTTTCTCCGAAGTATTTCAGCTGTTGCCAATGGAAAGTGCTACTGATGTAACGAGCAACACTGGTCAGTCTGACACTGGTCCAAGTAATCTTGATTATCTTATTTCTGGAGAATGGAAAACTGTAGGAGTTTGCATAGTAAATCACCTAGTGAGACTGGTCTTACAAAGAGGAAATTCTCCGTAAGAGCTACATGGGCCAAGCTGTAATCTCCTACCACACAAGCCATGTCCAGTACATGAGGAGGCTCTGCAGGGGAAAACAACGTTAACCATAAAAAACACTGACTTCTCTCATCACTTAAAGAGTGGAAAGAACTTATTTGATCAAACCCTTGTTTCAACCAGATCATCATGTCAGATTTCCTCCCTATAAACAGCCAAATTATTACCGGGTTCTAATGTTGGGTGAAAAGATGTTTAAACTATACCTTTGATCTTAGGATAAACCAGACAGTTAAACAACTTCAAAATATGCAAATACGTGTTTTCCTCGAATTATCCCAGCTCTACGAAGTTCCTTTCAAGTGACCCACAAGTCCCGCCTACTAAACAGCCACACAGGTGAGAGCGAAATTCAGGCTTCCAACAAAAACTGTCAAACGTTATCTGGCCAAAACTGCCATTCCCGAGGACAGCTTGTCAGGTCGTCAGTCAGTCTTAGATTCCTCTGCATTCCTTTGCAACTGCTGTCCTGACCTTGAGCCTCTCACGTGCGACTAGGCGGAGAGTCGAGGTCAGAGGAAGTGAAAGTCAACAAGCGCTTACTCAGCAGGGCATTGTGTCGCTTCAGGTAGGCGATTACGTCTCCTTGCTTTTCAACGATGTCTTCTAGGCTTGAAACAGTCCTGCAAAGAATCAACATATTCACCAATACTCATTAGTCTCTTTGCAAATGGGTCCCCTCCCAGTTTTCAGTACAACCTACGGTAGTTGTGACTTTTTCTTAAGATACTGTAAGCCAAGGTAATATTCCAAAATGAGATTCTTTCATTAGACTTGGTTTTACCCAGCTGAATGGGAGTAAGCAAATCAAACTTAACTCTAAAGGCACATATGCATAATCATAAACTCCAAGCGTAAGAATGTTTTCTAGATTTCCGGCGGGGTGGGAACCTTACAATTCTCTTTCTCTAGTCTTTCATTCCCCACCCAAAGCTTACCTGAATCCAGTCTCCGAGGTAATATTGCTGGGGTAAGCATAGATTTTTTCTTCTTCAAGTACATCAGGCTGTGGTTTGGCTTTATTAAATTTTCGAATTTTCACTAAAATAATAAAGTCATTATTGTCAGGTTACCTAATTATGAAAAACACTTTTACTTCCATTTTTTCAAATTATATTAATTGGCTATGCTTTTCAAGTAAGTTAATACAGATAAAAATGCTTCATAAAGTGAATAAACAGGTTTGAATATTGATGCGCCCAAGCCTTTGAAAGTCTATGTGCCAGGCCTGAACTAAACACTGGGAACACAGAGAGTATCATTATTGTTGATAATAATAACAGCTATGATTTTTTTGTGAATTTAAAACACAGAAGAAGGTACAGGTGAACTCTTGTGCATGGAGGGCCTCATCCAGTTCTCAGAACCACCCCCTGAAGTAGATGCCCTTATTATGCATACTTTCTACAATAAAGTGAAGCCCAGGGGAGTTAAATACATAACCAGGTTTCCAATCCAGGAATCATGACTTTGAAGCCTCCATTGTTGATACTGCCCTATAAAAAGAGCTACTGGTCCAGGGAAAAATATAGATGATAAGCCTACATTCCAAGACAGTATGAAAAGAACCAAAATCAAAGCTTGCACAAGGAGCTGTGACAGCCCTGAAAAGCAGCCCCTTAACTCAGCAGGAGTGGGATGGGAGGGAAGATCATGGAGAAGGAGGATGGTAGGGCTTGAGTCCAGCCTCGAGGGAAACACGAGAACTAATGCACAAACTAGGGGAAGAGAGAAGAAGGGTGTTTTAGGTGCAGGAAGAGCCTGAACAAATACTTAAGACCTTGAGGAGTGGTGTGGGTGCGTGCGTGGTGCGTGTGTGCGTGGTGCGTGTGTGCGTGGTGCGTGCGTGGTGCGTGTGTGTGTGCGCGCGTATGAGGGGGTGGAAAGGTAGGCAGGGAAGACGTCAGTGACTGGTGTTGCCATGTCAAGGCATTTAGATTTTGTCCTGAGGGTAAATGGGAGTCACTGAAAGGAGCTCACCATCATCCCTGAAGGGCAGGGCTGAGCAGGGCCAGCTCATGGAGAGCCTTTTATGCCACACCAAGATTTCAGATTTTCTTCCCTAGGCCTTTAAGAAAACTCTGGGAACAGGGAAGTTGTTAATGATCAGAGTTATCTCTGAATACAATACACTGGCAGGAGGAAGGAATACAATTAAGAGGACAGAGGAAGGGAAACCAGTAGCGTGCCTGCTGGAATCATCCACACAGGATGTGAGGAGCGGCTGACCGAGGCAGTGGAATGACAGAGGAGAGGAGACAGATGTGGGAGGCAGGCGGACTGAACAGGGCTGGTGACTGAGGGAGGGAGAGTAAGGTGGAAGGAAGAATCCAGGACGACAAAAAGGTCAGATGGAGCAAGAGCTGCGGGCTGGCACTGTTAGCTGAGCTAGGGGAGGAGGGACAGGATGGGGGAAGGTTTGGAAGAAGAGAAGGAAGTCCGGGTCCCTTCTGTCTTGCTGCACTGGAACGCCTGGATGGAAATGATCACCAAGCAGGCGACTATAAAGGTTTGGGTGGCTCTGTTCATCTGAGGGCTGCCCCCTAGTGTGTAGATGGGTAACTTTTAGTATGTAGAGAAAAAGGACGTGGGAACGCTGAAACCCGCCAGTATTAAAGAGGTGGGGAAAAATCTGTTAAAAGGGAATGGAAATGAATCTCCAGAGAGGAAGGAGGAGAACCAGGAAAGAGCAGTCGGTGTTCACTGCCAGAAAGGTGACGACACGGAGAGGACCCAGGGGATGTGGCAGTCTGAAGGCCACCGATGAACTTGGCCGTTTGTGGGGATAAGTGATGTTATGGACTGAACTCTGTTCCCCGAAAACTGACGTGTTGAAGCCTCACCCCCGATGTGACTGTCTTTGGGGATAGGGCCTTCGGTGAGGTAATTAGCATTAAATCAAGTACTAAGGGTGGGGCCCTGATCTGACAGAAGAGATACCAGGATACGCTTGCACAGAGCACAAGGCCATGTGAAGAGAGTCAGAAGGCAGCTAGAGAAGAGAGGCCTCCGGAGAAACCAAGCCTGACCACACCTTGACCTTGGACTGGCAACCTCCAGAACTGTGAGAAAATGAATCTGTGTGGTTTTAGTCAGCCAGTCCGTGTACTGCACTGCGGCGGCCGCAGCAGACAACTGCAACTGGGGCAGGGGCAAGAGTCCGTGGCAAAGAGGCAGAGAGCAGACACAGTGAAGGCCGCTGTTCCCCACCTCTCAGGGGTGACAACAGGCCAGGACAAGTCGTACCTCCGGATAATTGTTAACTGGGCTGGGGCTCTGCCCTGCCTGAATAACAACTCTGGGACCGGGCTGGAATGAGTAGTCCGCCTCCACCAGAGATGGCTACAAGGGGGGAGAAAGCCAGGGTTGGAGGGGGACTGTCAACCGGGACTGAACAGGAGAGCTGTATGCGCCAGGCCTCATGAATGAGGGGGAGGGGAAACGGGTTAGACTCCGGCATCACATTTTTTAAAAGCTCCACATGCCATTCTTTCCTTTTTTGTAACAACTTTTCAGATATAATTCATGTATCACGCATTCACCCGGTGAACTGAATTCAGTGGTTCAGTATTTCAAGTTGTGCAACCACCTCCATAGTCGATTTTAGAACATGTTCATCACCCCAGAAAGGAACCCAGTATCCATTAGCAGTCATTCTTCATTTGCCTCCTGCCCCCAACCCCAGCTCTAGGCAACCGCTAATCTATTTCCTCTCTCTATACATGTGCCTGTTCTGGGCATTTCATATTCACGGACTCATAAAATAGACCGTCTTCTCTAATGGGGGCTTCCACTTAGCATGTTTTCAAGGCTCATCCACATTGTAGCACATATCAGTACATCAGTCCATGTATTCATTCCTTTTTAGGACTGAAAAATATTCTATTGTATGGATCGAACACATTTTGTTTATCTCTTCATCAGTTTATCCTGACATCAATTAGATGGTTTCCCTCTGGGCTATTATAAACAGCACTTCCTTGAACAATCATGTACGTGTTTTTGTGGCGATGTCTTGGATATATACGCGGAGTCACATGACACTCTGTTTCACCTTTTGTGGAACTGCCAGGCTCCATATATGATTCTAATGTGCGCTCTCAGCTGAGAACTGGGCTCAAGAAGCTGAAGTGAAGAGGCTGAAAGTGAGAAAGGTGGGAGATGTGCAGAGGGTCTGGCAGGAAGGAACAGGAGGAAGCAGACAGCACGATGCCAAAAGAATCAAGCGTGCCCTGCACCTAGATGGCCTTGACTTTCAGGTATGGCAAAAAAGTGGGAAATGAGAAGCACCTTATGGCTTTGAATGGCACAGGCACAAAACCTGAGGTGCTACAGCTCACAGGTTAGAGGTCACAGACTGAGCCCCGGGGCTCCCTCCAACAGGTCAGGGAGAGCGCTCAACAAAGGAGACTATGGGGCCCCGCTGAGGCAGGCAGGAAACCAGGAAAGTCAGAGGCCCGGAGCAAGGGAGGGGTACACTTCCAGGAGGTAAAGATCATCCAGTAAAGATGAAGGCCGAGAATCGAGACTTAAGTGACAGCTGCCAGTGAATCCGAGTTGTTTGATGTTCACATCGTAGTTCTCAGAAATGGGATCTTCCCTATAATAACTCCTGAACAAAGGAAGAAGCTTGGAACAAGTGTAAGTTTCTTGAACTGGGGGACAGGAAATAAGGGCCATACAGTATTAAAGTAAAAGCCAAGGGACAGAAATAAAAGACACCACAGTCTGACAAAATAAAAAGGTCTCTGTGGTCTTTAAAATAGAGCAGCATTTTATAGATCACATGTCAGGCAGTAACACCAATTGCAACCACTCTTTCCATCATAAGCCAAGGAAAGCAGGCGGCATACCAAAACAACAAAATACTAAAAAAGAAAGGTACACTTGTTCCCCACTTATATTTTCTTTCTGTCTATACTGAACCTCTTACAGCTTCAGAACCGTGATACCGGCTGATGCAAGGCTGGTAGCTGAGTGGCATTACTTGACTCTTTTGCTTATTTTTTTTAAAATAAAAAATAAGAAAAAGATACTAATCAAATTTAGTATCTCAAAACTGTTTCAGGTTTTATTTTCCTAGTAAAGCAAATTAGTGTTCAAAGAGAAGGGTCCATCTTGGTTTCTAGAGATTAACTACTTAAAATGCAAATAAACTAGTCAAGGGGCGCCTGGGTGGCTCAGTTGTTAAGCGTCTGCCTTTGGCTCAGGTCATGATCCCAGGGTCCTGGGATTGAGCCCCACATCAGGGCTCCCTGCTCCGTGGGAAGCCTGCTTCTCCCTCTCCCACTCCCTCTGCTTGTGTTCCCTCTCTCGCTGTGTCTCTTTCTGTCAAATAAATACATAATATAAAATCTTTAAAAAATAAATAAATAAATAAAATAAAATGCAAATAAACTAGTCAAGGTTAGGTTAGGATTAGTATATCAAAGAATCATGTCCTCAAGAGTCCCTATCAATGTTATCAAACCCACTATCTTTTAAAGTCATTTCATTATAGAGAAACAAGAAAAATCCATACATAAGGAAACCAACCTTAAATTCTCTATGACACCAAACAAAAGCAACATTTGTCTCTAGATGCTACTCCCTAAATCTCTCCTGTCAGAACCTACAGTACATTTAAGGGAACATTATAATTTACTAAGTTAAGCTTACTCTTGAGGATGTGGAGATTAGACAGTCATACTTGAATCTTCTGAAGAAATTCAATATTTGCAGAAACCCTAAGTTTATAATTAATTATTATAAACCTGTCCTACGTAAACCATCTATTTACTTTGTGAGTCTGAATACCACTTACCAGGTTTTCTTACAGTAGGAAGCATATTCATTTGGGATTTAACAAGACAGTTTTTAATGGTGTTTTTATTCAGATAAAAATTTAAAAATTTAAAAATTAATGTAAATAAATATGCTACTAAGTCTTTGAGTATAGAATGAAGCAATTCTTTTTAATTAGGAAGACAATATATTAAAATAAGTGGAAAAGAATAAAATGAAAGAAAACCCTTTTTATTTAAGTTTAGGTGTCATGTAACTATTTGTGTCCAACTGTAAAAATGAGTTCCTGTCAGGATTCTTGGAATATCTGTTTCCTTTGCCTCTTAAACACTCTCAGGTTTTTGTCTTTTTGTTTCTAACATTAGCTGTCTTATTTATAATTAATTATAAATGCTACAGCAAATCCTTTAAAAAGTACAGTAAGTCCTAGGGAAATAAATCTTGGACTACATTTTAACAGTATTAATTTCTCCTTATTTACATGATGACATTCACATGATCTTTGGAATGTTGTTGTTACCTCCTTCTATGTCACAGAGCATTTTTTTTTTTTAAATATTTTATTTATTTATTTAATTGACAGAGAGAGAGAGACAGCAAGAGAGGGAACACAAGCAGGGGGAGGGTCAGGGGAGAAGCAGGCTTCCCGCCGAGCAGGGAGCCCGACGCGGGGCTCGATCCCAGGACCCTGAGATCATGACCCAAGCCGAAGGCAGACGCTCAACCGACTGAGCCACCCAGGCGCCCCTCACAGAGCATTCTATAGGTATTAAGAAAATACTACAAGAACGCTTGCACCCCTTGCAGTAAATGAAAGTTGTAGAGTACTAAAATAACAGGCTAAGTGAATTCTACATTCAGATCTAAACTATGATCTCACTGACAGCATCTGACAGACATGCCGTAGGTTGGAATTGATCTCAGTCAACAGGGTAATTCAATATCCACCTGTCATATGGATCCCTTTACAGAGATAGCAAAGCTGTTTCTTATATATGGAAAGATTAACCTTACTTTAAAACTAGTCTCATTCTTTTCTAGGAAGTTAAGTGGGTGATATACATTTATTTTTTTAAAGTGAGGTACAAAATGTAATCCTCCCCATAATTTGGCTCATTGTTAGCTGATAACTATAGAGAAATTTATAAAGATCAATCAGTAATGTGACATTCACATTTACAAACTAGTCACCCCATTCATATTCTGAATACTCTTCTGTAGGCCTAAGGAGATGCACAGAAAAAAAAAAATCAGTAAAATGAAACATAAGCTGAGACCCATGTGACTTTGTCCTTCATAACAAAAAGAAATGACCTCTTTCAAAATGGGTACACAAGATATTTTATTGTCACAAAATAACTGTTATGCACTGCCAGAAAATTAGCTACTATTTTGGACAAATTTTACTGCATGTTAATATTGCAGCAGGAATGAAATCTAGATTTTTCCAGGGCTTGGAATTTTTTTCTGTTAAAAGTATCCTTCCAGCTATTTTTCCATGTTTACATATCTAAAGCTTACTTTATTTTTTGAAAAAATTGTTTATTTTAGAGGGAGAGAGAGATTCCTCAAGCAGACTCCCCGCTGAGCACAGAGCCTGATGTGGGGCTCGATCCCAGGATCCTGAGATCATGACCTGACCCGAATTCAAAAATCAGTCACTTAACCAACTGAGCCACACAGGCGCCCCTGTGAAGTAAAGCTTACTTTAATTTTACCAATGAGAGTTCTGAGAGAGTGAGACAGAGAGACAGACAAACAGACCAACCCTCAGACATCTCTAAATTTAGAAAATGAGTTCATAAATGGTTTATCCTAAGGCAAGTCTGGAATAAACGCAGTTTTGCACGCATTATTTATTTATTTACTTATTTTGTATTTCGTCATTTCAAATTTAAATGCCAGACTTACATCTCAGTTGCCTTTGAAGAAGCAAATGTTTGTGGGTCTTTTTAATTTTTTTGGTTTTTTTTAATGATAAGGTGTCACTTGACTTGACAAAAATTAGTTGATGACACAAACTTAGGAGCATCACTCACTGGTATCTTGCTGTTGGTTTGAAATTGAGGATGCTTGGATGTGGTCAGTAATGGAAGGTACAGGTGCTAAACAGGCTCTCAGCTGCTAGAAAAACCTTGCCCCGAAGATAATGGCCACGTTTCCCATTATCAGGGATGAAACAAGCAGTCAAAGGTCTTTAGCCCAACAGTCTCGTTGTAATTCTCACCTGTGTAAACGAGCAGACACGTCAGGGAACAGACGAGTTCCAGGGCCAGGATGGCCAGGATGAGGTCAAGATACAACCTGCTGGGCTCTGGGAAGGAGTGCTGCACGCACAGCACGAGGAGGAGAGCCGTGCTGCCTGAGGAGGAGAAAGAAGCGTGCGGTTAGCAGAGCCCCGTGGGGGCCCACACGGCAGGGGCAGGCGTGCACTCAGGCCCTTCTATACTGAGCAGCGAAGGAAGCTAACGTAAAAACCCGAACCCGCTGCTCTCTTGAGGGAAAAACCCCAACACGTCTAACAGTTAATGATGCCTCCAAAATACAATTACATAAGAATCTGGATTTTCTTAAAAACTAAGAAATGATGTTTTGCTCTATAAAATGACGAACAGTGGCATTGTGTGGAGTCCCATGTGCATTTAAAAAGGGATGCAGGGGCTCCTGGGCAGCTCAGTCGGTTAAGCGTGCGACTCTTGATTTTGGCTCAGGTCACGATCTCAGGGTCATGGGATCGAGCCCCTTGTCGGGCTTCACGCTCAGCATGGAGTCTGCTTGTCCTTCTCCCTCTGTTCCTCCCCCTGCTCTCTCTCTCTCTCTCAAATAAATAAATAGGGATGCAGTTTTTAGAAATTTGCATTATCCCAGTTCTTCAGAATCCAGAGGCACTTGAGGACACTCATGGCCCATTCTGGTCACATAATGTAACAACAGAGAACTGCACGGAGATTAAGAATGTTGCAGTTATGTGGACCGCCTGGGTGGACATCTGGGACACACTGCTGACCGTGGACAAATGACCTGACACCTCTGCTCCTCAACTTGTCTGAAAAATGGGAATGACAGTACCTTCCTCACAGTGCTCTTGTGAGGAATAAATGAGTTAATATGTGAAAAATACTTAGAATGGTGCTTGGCAATTATTTGATAAATATGAACTGTCTCCCCCCCCCACACACACACACTTAGCTATCTATTATTTGGTTTTGAAGACCATTAGCCTTGTTCTGTACTTTTGTTTTGAAAAATACAGCATAGAAGAAAAAATTCTGGAGCAAAGAGGCTGGGTCTTGCCATCATGTAACGTATGACTGTCTGCCACAGAGACCTGCTTGGAGGAAGGGTTGTATGGTGGTGTGCCTGGGATTGTGAAAGATTACACGAAGCAAAAATTATTATTATTATTATTATGTAAAGATTTTACTTATTTATTTGTCAGAGAGAGAGAGAGAAGGAGCACAAGCAGGGGGAGCAGCAGAGGGAGAAGCAGGCTCTCTGCTAAACAAGGAGCCCGATGCGGGGCTCGATCCCAAGACCCTGGACCATGACCTGAGCTGAAGGCAGACGCTTAACTGACTGAGCCACCCAGGAGCCCCGAAACCAAAATTATTATAATAATGCTGATGGGGCGCCTGGGTGGCTCAGTCGTTAAGCGTCTGCCTTCGGCTCAGGTCATGGTCCCAGGGTCCTGGGATCGAGCCCTGCATCGGGCTCCTTGCTCGGCGGGAAGCCTGCTTCTCCCTCTCCCACTCACCCTGCTCGTGTTCCCTCTCTCGCTCTATCTCTCTCTGTCAAATAAATAAAATCTTAAAAAAAAAAATAAAAAAAATAATGCTGATGATACCTACCATTCATTTATTGAATACCTACTAGGCACTGTTAGTTCACTTCCTCCTGCAACAGAGTTTGTGTGAGAAATACTATTTCCCCAATTTTATAGAGAAAAGATGTCAGGCTAAAGCTAATCACTATCCGACAATACTATCACCTGCCACTGAAACAATGGTTACACTCATCTGATTAGCTGGACGTTCTATATCTTCATGGATTTACCTTTTTATTCTTCATATAAGAAAAAAATACTTAAAGAAAGTAGAAACAAGTAATACCTGCCCCGATCTCTTTGGTTTTCTGGGTCCTTATATGAGCAACATAAAAGTGATGCCATCTGTGATTAAAGTAAGGGTCCAATTGCTTAGAAACATTAAGTGTCATATGTTAGCAAGAATTTCAAAGTGAGGGCGCTGGGGTGGCTCAGTCATTAAGTGTCTGCCTTCGACTCAGGTCATGATCCCAGGGTCTTGGGATCGAGTCCCGCATCGGGCCCCCTGCTCGGCCAGAAGCCTGCCTCTCCCTCTCCCACTCCCCCTGCTTGTGTTCCTGCTCGCTATCAAATAAATAAATAAAATATTAAAAAAAAAAAAAGAATTTCAAACTGAGCGGAAAGGTAAAGATCAGACGATCCCTTGGTGGGCCTCAAAAATACTATTTCCAGACCGCTTTTGGTCATAATGCTTATGAGGTCTGTAAGTTAAAAATGGGTTTTGGCTTTTATCTTTGTGGGTGGGAGGAAAGGTTATAGTGACATCTCCTGGCCAAAAACAAGTACTACACAACAGCTGCTGAACATACAAGCCAAGGTCTTCCTCAGGGAGCAGTAAAAAGGTCCCCCCTTTCTCCATGAGTCAAAATCAGCCATCTCTATAAAATGCTTCTCTGTTATCGGGGGGGCCCTGCAGCTTCCACTGAGAACATCACTGAGCAGATGAACTCGCAGCTTGCCCTTGAAATTCTGTAGAGCTGTTTTTCTGGGAAAAAAATTAATTTCAAATTTGGTTTCAAAATGTCTAAAAGTACTTATTCCAGACTCAAACTGAAAAAGAGGGTCTTTTAAAAAGGTAGGAACTTTGAACACCAAGGCAAAAATACCTAAAGAAGTTCAATTTAATTCCGTTCAGCCTTTAAAATGTTTGCAACAATAAACAGAGTGGGTACTAATGCAGCTAAGTCCTGTATGGACTTCCTGACCTTGCCTTCATGAAGTGTTTTTCAAGTTTTCCATTTTGGATAATGCATTTTATTATATCACAGTCTCTCACTGAAAGAAAAACACTGAACTTCATTTAAAGTAAAGCAATTCCTTCCTCTTATCCTCCAAGTATCAAATAGCAACAGCATTTGTATGGTCTTGAGAGGATTAAGATGGCTCATACCAAAGCGGGGGATCTACATTACACACAGGAGGATACGTGGACAACGTGTTCACAATGATGGGGGGGCAGAAAATGCCACCCCAAAATAAGCGTTCTTGGCGTAAGGATTATTTTAAGCTGATTATTTTTAAGAAACAGCAGACACAGGTGAGGCTCTGAAAGCTGAGTAGAATTTACCCTTTTGTAAGAGACAGTTACAAGGGAAAACTACAGTTTGTACGCGTGTCCTCCTCTCTGTACCAGGAAGAGAAGGAAGATTGTAAATTTCTAGAAACAATTATCCACAGAGAAGGCACAGACTTAAATCTGAGTAACAATCTCACTGTTGTTTACAGAGCTTTCCTGGTAACCTCCCATAACTCCTCCAACCGCCTCACCACATCTCTGGTCTCTTGGACCAGAGATGGTATTTAACGTGGTGGCATGGCCCATTTTGGAGAGTTACTCAGTTTTCTTGGGTCTCTCCCATGTATACAGGAGGTACGCATATTATTAAACTTCTGTTTATTTTTCTCTTGTTAAGCTTTTATTACAGTGCGGTCTCAGCCAAAAATCTACCTAGAAGGGTAGAGGGACATTTTTTTCCCCTCCCCTATGATAACAAACACAGATGTCAAAGGAATATTAAGACTATATTGGGATGCCTGGGTGGCTCAGTCATTAAGCATCTGCCCTCGGCTCAGGTCATGATCCCGGGGTTCTGGGATTGAGCCCCGTGTCGGGCTCCCTGCTCAGCAGGGAGACTGCTTCTCCCTCTCCATCTTCCCATGCCCTGCTGTGTTCTCTCTCTCTCTCTTGCAAATAAATAAAATCTTTAAAAAAAAAAGAAAATTAAGACTATATTATTAAAAAACCTTCAAGACATTAAGGTGATCCAAATTTTAGTGGCCATAATACACATCACTCTGACAAAACATGAGAGAATGTATTTGATTATAAAGTCAAACCTCATATTTTCTTTCTGCTGGCATTTCTGCCACGCAGGCAAGCCACAGACAAGCTGAGCCAGACTCACCGGTTGAGTGTATCATCAGTGCAAGTCCTTTAAGATGCCTTGTGGACAGGTAGATCGTGTTATAGCCTCGGTTTCGGACTTTGTTGTGGTGGTACTGGATGTAGCGTTCAAGAAGAAAATGCAGAATCCACAAAATAACTTTTCCAAGGATTATGACTGTCTGAACTTTCAATGGGTTGGTATAGTTTCCTGGGCACTTGTCCTCAATTGGATTAGGGTAAGAGCAAAGTACACCTGTTAAAAATGCTAAAATGACAAATACAACCTGGCGGAAAGGAAAGCAGTAGGATTAATATTCAATATTTGGAATTAAAAAATGATGATCACCATCCCAGCACATACTCATACCTATGACTTTTGCTATCCTATTTTTATAAATGAATTTAAAAACAACTTTTTTTTTTGCCATTTTACAAACGTTTTAAACAGAAAATTTGGAGAAAAATTTGCAGAAAATTTGGAAACAAATCACAAATAAGAAAAGTCACCCTAAATCCCATCTAACAGAGATGAGTACTTAATGTTAAACAATTTCTTGCCCACTTCTTTTATTGAAGAGTAAAAACAGTTAATTTAGTGCTTCAGAGGTAACTAGTAAAAATTGCGGTTTAAAAACCTTTATTTCTAGTTTCAGTTTTAAGAGAACAAAAATAACTATACAGTTAGATTGACAAAAAATTAAAAGACTGGTGCCATAATACAGGCAAACAGACATTCTCATATATTGCTACTGGTCTGGGAATAGATGTGGAAAAAGAATTTGGAAGCATCTTGACTCAGTAATCCTGTCTTAAGGACTCTACCCATCAGAAGGAAAAGCACCAGTCCAGAGGGTTCTATGGATACGAATATTTACTGCAGTATTCTCTATATTTGCAAAAAAACTGAAAATTGCCCCAAGGATATGTGTTCATCCATAGCAGAATGCCTGAATAAATTAAGATACATCTACTTGTGGGGCGCCTGGGTAGTTCAGTCATTAAGTGTCTGCCTTCGGCTCAGGTCATGATCCCAGGGTCCTGGGATCGAGCCCCGCATTGGGCTCCCTGCTCTGCGGGAAGCCTGCTTCTCCCTCTCCCACTCCCCCTGTTTGTGTTCCCTCTCTTGCTGTGTCTCTCTCTGTCAAATAAATAAATAAAATCTTAAAAAAAATTAAAAAAAGATACATCTACTTGTATAACAATATTATTTGGCTATAAAAGAATGAACTAAATCTCCCTGTAATTTGGCTGGATGTCTGTATGTTAAGATTAAAAGTTGTAGAAGTAGTAGTTCAAAGTGTGGTTTACAGACCAGCACAATCAGCATCACAAGGGAACTAGTTAGAAAGGCAAATTCTCAGATGCCACCCCAAACCAGCAGAATCAAAAATCTCTGGGGGTGTCACCGAGCTATCTAGTTTAATAAGCCTGCCAGGGAGTCCGTCGCATGCTGAAGCATGAGAAACACCTCTGCAGAATAATAAATACAGATTATCCCATTGGGGGATGGGGAGAAGAAATGGGGGAAATCCTTTTATATATGTACTAATCTTTTTGTGTATATATACATATATATGTACACAAAATATATGTATAATATATATAAAGGTATAATATATGCCCAGCACAGAGCCCAACACGGGGCTGAACTCAGGACCCTGAGATCAAGATCTGAGCTGAGATCAACAGTTGGTCACTTAACTGAGTCACCCAGGTGCCCCTCTTTTTGTATATATTTGTATGAATTGAATGAAAGGCACTGAGATACACCCATTTATTAACTTGGGGAGAAGGGCTGAAGCAGAGAAAACAGAAGATACGATTTTATCTTTGTACACTTTGGCAATGTTTTATTTGTAACAATAAGGAAGTTATTTTGTAATTTAAAAAATCAAATAAAGAAAAATATATCATTAGTATTCATCACAAAACATTCAATAGCAGGCAATCCAAGCATATAATAAATCTATCTAAAATATATGTGATTTGTCTAATTGATTTGCCAAGAGCAGTCATATTTGCTATGGCAACTCAAGATGCCTATTAGCATAAAGGAAAAATTTGAAAGGTCAACAAATTCCTTATACTGGAAAACACTGTACATTGAACCAAACTGATCCATTTTATATAAAGTAGCATAGATATTTTTCTTGTTTTTTTAAGTTTTTACTTAAATTTCAGTTAACGTATAAGGTAATATTAGTTTCAGGTGTACAATATAGTAATTCAACAATTCCATACACCACCTGGTGCTCATCACAAGTGCACTCCTTAATCCCCCTCACCTAGTTCACACATCCCCCCCCCCCCGCTGGGAACCATCAGTTTGTTCTCTATAATTGAGTCTCTTTCTTGGTTTGTCTTTTTTCCCTTTGCTCACTTGTTTTCTTGCTTAAATTCCACATGCGTGAAATCACATTGGCATTTGTCTTTCTCTATTTTGCTTAGCATAATACTCTCTAGCTCCGTCCATGTAGTTGCAAATGACAAGATTTCATTCTTTTTTATGGCTGGGTCATAATCCCAGCCATAAAATATTCTCTTTTTTATCCATTTAACAACTGAGGGACACTTCAGCTGTTTTCATAATTTGGTTATTGTAAATAATGCTGCAATAAACATCAGGGTACATGTATCCCTTTGAATTAGTGTTTTTGTATTCTTTGGGTAAATACCCAGTAGTGCAATTGCTGGATCATAGGGTAGTTCTATTTTTAACTTTTTGAGGAACCTCCATACTGTTTTCCACAGTGGCTACACCAGTTTGCATTCCTACCAACAGTGTAGATGGGTTCCTTTTTCTCCGCATCCTCGCCAACAGCTGTTGTTTCTTGTGTTGTTGATTTTAGCCATTCTGATAGGTGTGAGGTGATAGGTCACTGTAGTTCCAATTTGTATTTCCCTGATAAGTGATGTGAGGCATATTTTCATGTGTCTGTTGGTCATCTGGATGTTTTCTTTGGAGAAATGTCTGTTCATGTCTTACTGCCCATTTTTTTAATTGGATTTTTTTTGGGTGTTGAGTTTTCTAAGTTCTTTATGTATTTTGGATACTAACCCTTTATCAGGTATGTCATTGGCAAATATCTTCTCCCATTCTGTAGGTTGCCTTTTAGTTTTGTTGTTTCTTTCGCTGAGCAGAAGTATTTTATTTAGATGTAGTCTCAATAGTTTAACTTGTTTCTCTTGCCTCAGGAGACTTATCCAGAAAAAAGTTGCAATGGCTGATGGCAGAGAAATTACTGCCTGTGCTCTCTTCAGGGTTTTATGGTTTCAGGTCTCCATTTAGGTCTTTCATCCATTTTGAGTTTATTTTTGCGTATGGTGAAAGAATGGCGCAGATTCATTCTTTTGTATGTCGCTGTCCAGTTTTCCTAACACCATTTGTTGAAGAGACTGTCTTTTTCCCATTCAATATTCTTTCCTGCTTTGTTGAAGATTAATTGACCATATAATTGCAGGTTCATTTCTGGGCTCTCTATTCTGTTCCACTGATCTATGTGTCTATTTTTGTGCCAGTACCATACTGTCTTGATGATGACAGCTTTATAATAGAGCGTGAAGTCTGGAATTGTGATGCCTCCTGCTTTGCTTTTTCAAGATTGCTCTATTTGGAGTCTTCTGTGGTTCCATACAAATTTTAGGACTGTTCTAGCTCTGTGAAAAATGCTGTTGGTATTTTGATAGGGATTGCATTAAATGTGTAGTTTGCTTTGGGTAGTATAGACACTTTAACAGTATTTTTTCTTCCAATCCATGAGCATGGAATGTCTTTCCATTTCTTTAGGTCATCCTCCAATTTTTCATCAGTGTTTTATAGTTTTCAGAGTATAGGTCTTTCACCTCTTTGGTTAGGTTTAGTCCTAGGTATCTTATGGGTTTTGGTGCAATTGTAAATGGCACTGATTCCTTGATTTGCCTTTCTGCTGCTTCATAATTGGTGTATAGAAATGCAACAGATTTCTGCACATCGATTTTGTATCCTGACTTTACCGAATTCGTTTATTAGTTCTAGCATTTTTTGGTGGAGTTTTTCAGGTTTTCTACATAGAGTATCATGTCATGTGCAAATAGTGAAAGTTTTACTTCTTCCTTGCTGATTTGGATGCCTTTTCTTTTTGTTGTCTGATTGCTGAGGCTAGGACTTCCAGTACTATGTTCAATAAAAGTGGTGAGTGGACATCCTTATCTTGTTCTTGGCCGTAAAGAAAACCTCAGGTTTTTCCCATTTAGGATGATGTTAACTGTGGGTTTTTCATAGATGGCCTTTATTATGCTGAGGTATGTTTCTTCTAGGCCTATTTTGTTGAGGGTTTTTTTTTTATCACGAATCGATGTTGTACTCTGTCAAATGTTTCTTCTGATCTATTGAAATGACTATATGGTTCTTATTCTTTTTTAAAAAATTAATGTGATGTATCATGTTGATTGATTTATGAGTGTTGAACCACCTTTGCAACCCAGGAATGAATCCCACTTGATCATGGTAAAGGATTTTTTTTTTTTTAAGATTTTATTTATTTATTTGACAGAGAGACACAACAAGAGAGGGAACACAAGCAGGGGGGCGGGAGAGGGAAAAGCAGGCTTCCCGCTGAGCAGGGAGCCTGATGCGGGGTTCGATCCCAGGACCCCGAGATCATGACCTGAGCTGAAGGCAGACACTTAACGACTGAGCCACCCAGGCGCCCCAGTGAAGGATTTTTTAAATATATTGTTGGATTTGGTTTGCTAGTATTTTGTTGAGGATTTTTGCATCTATGTTCATTAGAGATATTGGCCTATAGTTCTTTTTTGTGGTGTCTTTATCTGGTTTGGGTATCAGGGTAATACTGGTATTCTTCTTGCTTTTTTTTAAGAAATATATATACTTTTTATTTATTTATTTATCTTTAAAGATTTTATTTATTTGACAGAGAGAGCACAAGCAGAGGGAAAGGGAGAAGCAGGCTCCCCACTGAGCAGGGAACCTGATGCGGGACTCATCCCAGGACCCTGAGATCATGACCTGAGCCGAAGGCAACCTCAGCCGCTTAACCGACTAAGCCACCCAGGCGTCCCTTTTTCTTGTTTTTTAACACAAGATTTTCTTAATCCTAAAATTAGGGCAATCGATCCCATAGTATCGTAGGCAGGCAATTTAATATAAAAAGGTTTTTCAAAGTCGTATGTGTGTATATTTGTGTGTATGGGGGGTATAAATAAATGCAGAGTATGTTACACAAATTAAAGATATGTTATAAAAAAAAAAGTAAGAAGAAAAACAGGCCATAATCCAGGGACCAGGAGGCCACCTCTTCAGTTGATAATCGGGGGATTGAGAAGCCATGGAGGAACCATGCCACACTTAACTACATCTACACAAGGAAATAGGATGCACCTCTCTCCTCAGGGTATTCAGTTCTGAATTCAAGTCTATATAGTGTGTGTTACTGGAGCAGCTGCTGAACGAGTCAATGAACCACATTTATTCTCCTCATGAACATGTGGGATTGCTAAGAATATGCCCTCTTGATATTTCACATTGTAGCAAAGAATAACTACATCCCCTAGTGCTTCAGATCCCAATAACCAAAATGGAGATGACTAACAGACTAGCTGCAGAGCCATCAATAAGCCTACACCAAGACCATTCACACACAGAGGTTTTTTGTTTGTTTTTCCATTTAGGGGTTTCTTTCTGTATGTGATGTTGAATTTATTGACTTATTTATTTTTATTGATATAACTGACCTATAACATTGTGTAAGTTTAAGGAGTACAACTTGGCTTTTTGTTTGTGTTTTCTGTTGTTGTTGTTGTAACTTTTTATCTTATTTTAGTAATCTCTACACCCAATGTGGGACTCAAACCCACCACCCTGAGATCAAGAGTCACACCCTTCTCCAACTGAGCCAGCCAGGGGCCCCTACAATTTGTTGATTTGATACATTTATATATTGCAATATAATTAGCTTCCCAGCATTAGCTAACACCTCTATCACTTCACATAATTACAGCTTCCTTTTTGTGGTGAGAACAATTAAGATACCTAATTTCTTGGCAACACTGAAGTTTATAATACATACAATATGGTTGACTATAGTCACTATCATTTATCTCTAGGACTGATTTATCTACTAGTTGCAACACATGTGTTTTTATTTTTATTTATTTATTTATTTTAAAAAATTTTATTTATTTATTTGAGAGAGAGAGAATGAGAGATAGAGAGCACGAGAGGGAAGAGGGTCAGAGGGAGAAGCAGACTCCCCGCCGAGCAGGAAGCCCAATGCGGGACTCGATCCCGGGACTCCAGGATCATGACCTGAGCCGAAGGCAGTCGCTTAACCAACTGAGCCACCCAGGCGCCCAACACATGTGTTTTTAAAAATCCCCAGACATTTGGGGAGCCTGGGTGGCTCAGTTGGTTGGGCATCCGACTCTTGATTTCAGCTCAGGTCAGGGTCTCAGGGTCGTGGGATCAAGCCCCATGTCGGGCTACACACTGAGGATAGAGTCTGCTTAGGACTCTCTCTCTCTCTCCCTCTTCCGCTGCCCCCCGTCCCCACTCATGCTCTCTCTCAAAAAAAAAAAAAGTCCCCTGACATTTATAATTTTATCATAGTTTCAAATATGGTGCAACAATATGTATTGTTCTGCTGCAACTTGATTTCTCTGCTTGACATTATTTCCTAAGTGTAGATAAATTGATAAATTTCTGTGTCAATAAAGATTTATCTACATCTTTTTTTTTGTTTTAGTAACTGAAAAAGCAATACATGCATATGTCAAAAAAAAAATCTCAAATAGTACAAAAGGCAAACACTAAAAATCTATCAGGTGTGCCTTCTACTGAGGCCCTCAGTCCTCCACCTCAGTGGGAACTAGTATTAAAAGGAACTTATGAATGCTTCTAGAAATTTTCTGTTTATACACAGGAATATACATGCACACCAGCCCTCTCAATTATCTTTTGTTTTTTTAAATTTTATCTGTTTGAGAGAGAGAGCAAGCACGAGCAGGGGAGGGGGAGTTTATTGGTCTTAAAAACGGACTGAAAGGAGTCTTTCTAGTCAATAATATGGAGAAATCCATGAAGAAGGATAGAAAATTAAGAATTCTCTTTTTGGATATTTTAAGTGTGAGATGCCCTTTAGACATCTCAGACGCTTAACCAACTGAGCCACCCAGCTACCCTGCAATCATCTTTTAAAATGTGCAAATAGGAACATTCTGTGCAATCCTGAATGTAAACCTGTGTTTGTGAACACTCAACAATGTAAGTGTGAAGACTGGTCTAAATCAATAGATACACAACCACCCTGTTTCATTTTCAACAGGTGCAGAGCATTCCTTCATATGGATGGGACATCAGTGTCCTCTGAATGGTGATTGTTGCAGTATCTTGATATTACAGACAACATTACTATTGTCAACAATATCCTTGGGGCGCCTGGGTGGCTCAGTCAGTTAAGCGTCTACCTTTGGCTCAGGTCATGATCTCAGGGTCCTAGGATTGAGCCCCACATTGGGCTCCCTGCTCAGCAGGAAGCCTGCTTCTCCCTCTCCCACTCCCACTGCTTGTGTTCCCTCTCTCGATGTTTCTCTCTCTGTCAAATAAATAAAATCTTAAAAAAAAATACAATATCCTTACACGTGTGCAAATACATCTATGGTAAATTCTTTGACGTAGAGAGATAAGTAAACAAGTATGCACATTTTAAATGTTGACAGATGTGGCCAAACTGCCCTCTGCAGAGCTTATATATATTTTTAAGAACATTACCTCTGTCTGGATTACTTTGTCCCAGCCAACTTACATGTATTAATAAGAGAAGATTTGCTATGATGACTGTAGGAAGAGCATGGAATCTGGGTCTAAACTGAGCATGTAATGAATGATGTGGGAGATGCTGGGTGTCCAGAAGGGGGTCATCTTCAATACTCTGGGTGAGATCCAAGGAACCCTGAGGTACAGAAAAACAGAAGCAAACTATAATCACCACTTTCTAGATTATGTTTCTAAGACAAATCTATTAAACTCTAAAGCATTAAAAACCATTACACAAGTTCGAGGCAAGAAAAATACACTCCCTACCTAAAGCCAATTTAAAAAATATCATAAACTTCCAGGTAACTACTGTATACAAACTGGTGAAAACAAGTATTAAAATGGGTAGAGGAAATCTTACTTCAATTATCTTCAAATGAGTAATATATAATGAGATTAAAGCAAACAATTTTTTAAGTTCTCAAAACTTAGATTTGATTTATCTAACATTAGATTATTGATGAAATAATTAAATATGGTTGCAATTCTTAAACTACATCTTGATGTTCGGAAAGTTGGTGGAGGCTTTATTAAACTTTGTTATGATAGAAATGTTTTAGAGAAGGAAACAGAACACCCTGATAGATCCTCAAGGAGATTTTAGTTTATAGATACAGGTTCTCAATGAAAACAACCAGTTGCAAAGTCACTGACGTAGCTGATGGGGTTGAGCTGAAACCAAAAAATTCAGTTTGTCTTATTTAAAGGTATTGTCTCGACAGGAACAGTACTATCAGGTCTCTGGTACGTATAACCATCTCTTAATCTCAGACCCTTGCTGAAAACTATTATATATAAGGTACTAGAAGATAAAAAAATACAAAATGTAATCCAAAAGATTACGTTTTCATTGAGGAGGCTAGGGATAAAGGCATACAGGATGAAATAATATTATAAGTGAGCTAACTGAACAAAAACAATATGGAAATAAAGATTTCATCAGAAAAAGGGAAGCCTGAGAATAGCATTTAGAAAGAGAGGATAAAGCCTCTTTGGAAGGGGTAGAGTGAGACAAACGGTATAGGGATGGTTTCTGGGCACCAGATTACAAAGATAAAAAATAATAATCTGGAGCCTAACTCAGATCTGGGGCGGCCTTCTCAGTCTCCAAACTCAGGCTTTCAGTGCTGCTCTACAATTTTCTTTTTCATTCAATGCCTATATATAGCTTCCTGTTTAGTTTGCCATAACTTACGGTATGATTCTGATTCATTCTGTTCTTTTCAAGACTCCTCTGCCTCTAGCTCTCTCTCAGGCAGCAGATGTCCCAGTCTCCACGCGCTTCCCTTGGCTACCATTTGTGCATCATTCCAGGCCCCGCGGGGGCAATTCCCATGGGTAGCCTCCCTGGGCATCCAAGCATCTGGATCATGCCACACCTCCAGGCCTTCCCACACATTTGGTGCTCATACTATCATACTATCCTGTTGATGGTCTTATTTCTTACCTATCCTCCCCAGTAGATTTCATGAGACTCACAAACTCCCCATCACTTATTTGTCTTTGTAATCCTAGCACCCAATAGTGACTCAGGGTTGGTGCCCAGGGAACAGATGATGAATGGATGACGGTTCCAAACCTATCTCGGCAGTGTTCCTATCTCAGTTAGGGTTTCATCAAAGACCTGGGCTAATCAGGGGAGATTATCGGAAGCTGTGGGGAGAATCAGCTCTGACCAGACACAAAAGCAGTAAGTACTGTGGTTACAGGCAAGCTCCTAGGGCAAACTGCCTGGGTTCAGACACAAGTTCTCCTGCTTCCTAGCAGTAAGGAAGTTACTTCATCTCCATGCCTGTTTCGGCATCTCAGGAAACAGAGTTCTAACAGCACCCGTTTCATAGCTTTGGTGGGAAGATTAAATAAGTTACTATTCATAAAAGTGCCAGAACACTGCCTGGTACAGACATGGCAGTCAGTAAGTTTTAGCCCTATTGTCTCGAACACTTGTCTTCCCTTGCTCCTCACATAAAATGCCTTACCACTCTGACTCCCAGATCTGTTCCTGCCTCTCTATTCTCACTCTTCAGCCCAGGCCCCATCACTTCTCATGGCCTCTGCCCTCCAGTCTCCAGACCTTAGCAACCTCTTCCTGCAGTCGGATGCCTTCTAACATGAACATTCACATTTCTCTCCCCCAAAACTTGAGTCCCTCCCCATTAGCCTCCAGACGAAGTTCAAGTTCTTAGTCTGGCGTGCTGTTTTACAATCCATTCCCAAGCTACTTTTTGGGACTTGCCTCTCGTTATCTCTCTTCCTCCTGATGCTGACTGCTGATGCGCCCGTCTCTCACAAAACTCTTTCAGTCCCTGTGCCTTACTTCCTTCTGCCCACATGTCAATGCTTGTCTTAGCAAACACACTGGCTTCTCTGATGCCTCAGCACTGTGCCTATTGCCCTTTGCATCCAACACTGCACTTCTCATGTGCCCAATGTGACTGGGGTCTATTTTTTATCTCCCATATGTCTTTTTACCCTTTGGAACACAGAAAAAATGGTTGTAATTTTTTAATGTTCCTGTCTGCTGTTTCTAGCGTGTCATTTCTGAATCAGTTTCAACTGACTTATATGTCATACTTTCCTGCCTTTTGCATGCTTGATAATTTTTTTCAACTTCATTGAGATACAGTCGACGGGGGCGCCTGGGTGGCTCAGTTGTTAAGCATCTGCCTTCGGCTCAGGTCATGATCCCAGGCTCCTGGGACAGAGCCCCGCATTGGACTCCTTACTCAGTGGGGAGCCTGCTTCTCCCTTTCCCACTCCCCCTGCTTGTGTTCCCTCTCTCGCTGTCTCTCTTTCTCTCTGTCAAATAAATAAATAAATAAATCTTAAAAACAAAACAAAACAAAACAAACTGGGGCACCTGGGTGGCTCAGATGGTTAAGTGTCTGCCCTCAGCTCAGGTCATGATCCCGGGGTTCTGGGATCGAGCCCCACGTCCGGGTCCTGGCTCAGCGGGGAGCCTGCTTCTCCCTCTGCCTCTGCCCCTGCTCGTGCTCTCTCTCTCTCTGTTATCTCTGTCTCGAATGAATAAATAAAATCTTAAAAAAAAAAACAAAACTAGGGCACCTGGGTGGCTCAGTTGGTTAAGCGACTGCCTTCAGCTCAGGTCATGATCCTGGAGTCCCAGGATCAAGTCCTGCATCGGACTCCCTGCTCAGCAGGGAGTCTGCTTCTCCCTCTGACCCTCCCCCCTCTCATGTTCTATCTCATTCTGTCTCTCAAATAAATAAATAAATAAATAAATCTTAAAAAAAAAAAACACTAATGTAATGCATGGTGATTAACATAATAAAAGAAAAAAAAAAGAGATAGTCAACATATAGCTTTGTGTAAGTTTAAAGTGCACCATGAGTTAATCTGATACACACCTTCACCATGTCACATAATCATCAATGCCTGGTAATTTTGGATTGGATGCAAGACTTCCTGATTTATCTCTTTGGGTGCTGGACAGTTTTGCATTCTTATAAATATTCTTGAGCTTTTTTTCTGGAATGCAGTTAAGTTACTTGGAAACAGTGTGATCTTTTTGGTCTTGCTTTTAAGACTTATTATTAGGTGGGACCACAGCCATGTTTAGCCTAAGGCTAATTTCTCCCCCACTATGAAGGTAAGATTTCTGTGAGCACCTCGTACCCTGTGAATTATGGAGTTTCCAGTCAGACTGGTGGACTAGGCACTATGCCCGGCCCTGTGTGAGCACTAAGTACTGCCTCCTCTAATCATTTCAGGTGGTTCCTTTCCAGGCCACGGGCAACATCCTCACAGGCCCAGTCGGACCGAGCAGGACCCTGCTCACTCCGATGGGGACTCTGCACATTTTCAGTTCTCCCTCTGTGCCTCTCTCCTCTCCAGGTACTGCCATGTGAACTCCAGTTGCCTCAGTCTCCCCAGACTCTCAGCTCCATCTCCTCAACTCAGGGAGCCTGCTGACCTCTGCCGGGGCACCCTTTCCTGTCACAGCCCGCAGACTCTCTCACGGTGGTCAGCTGGGGGGGCAACCATCTGACTCACTGTCTCCCTCCTCTCGGAAAGCACTGTCCTTCACTGCCCGATGTTCAACAGCTCAAAAAGTGTTGTTTCATATACTGTATGTAGTTTTTTGGTTACTTCAGGCAGAACGATGAATGCAGTCCCTGCTACACCGTGCTGGCTAGGAACAGAAGTTCCTACTGCACTCTCACACGTCTCTGTTACAACTTCCAATACTAACCACAAGGTATCAAAGTGGTTGGAAGAGTGTGCTTCACAAGGGCAGAGACTGTTTTGTATATTCCTTATATCTTTAGCATGTAACACAGAGTAGGTGCTCAATGTGTGTGTGGAGTGAATGAAAGACCGCCCAACTTCTTGTGGGGCCTGAGAATCTAAACAAAGCTGGCCTTGAAACCTTAACTGTAAGACTACTGTCAATTTGTCTCCCATTTACCTCCCTTTCATGCACCCCCTCCCCTAGCCTAAATGACCTTTCTGGAGTGCCCCACAAATATCCTTCTTATATTTTTCAGAATCCACACAAGACTTAAGTTCTCTATAAAACTTGTCCCGCCGGGGTGCCTGGGTGATTCAGTCAGTTAAGCGTCAGACTCTTTTTTTTTAAAGATTTTTTTTTTTTTTATTTGACAGAGACAGCGAGAGAGGGAACACAAGCAGGGGGAGTGGGAGAGGGAGAAGCAGGCTTCCTGCCGAGCAGGAGCCTGATGCGGGGCTTGATCCCAGGACCCTGGGATCATGACCTGAGCCAAAGGCAGACGCTTAACGACTGAGCCACCCAGGCGCCCCACGTCAGACCCGATTTCACCTCAGGTCATGATCTCAGGGTTGAGATGGAGCCCCAGTCCGCTCCGTGCTGGGTGTGGAGCCAGCTTAAGATTCTCTCTCTCCCCCACACTCTCTAAAACACAAAAACAAAACCAAAAAAAACCAACTTGTCCTGCCAACTATTTTCTTTCTACTTTAAAACTGCTATAAAATGTACTGCTCATAATATTAATTTGGAATAGTTTTTTTTTTTTTTTAAGATTTTATTTACTTGAGAGAGCAAGCAAGAGTGACCAAGAGAGCATGTGCAGGGGTGGAGGGGCAGAGGGAGAGGGAGAAACAGACTCCCTGCTGAGCAGGGAGCTCCATGTGGGGCTCGATCCCAGGACCCCATGATCATGACCTGAGCTGAAGGCAGACGGAGCCACCAAGGCACCCCTAATTTGGAATATTTCTTATGCTATCTTGTATTTTTTCTTTTTTTTTTTTTTTTAAAGATTTTATTTACTTATTTGACAGAGAGAGACACAGTGAGAGAGGGAACACAAGCAGGGGGAGTAGGAAGGAGAAGGAAGCTCCCACGGAGCAAGGAGCCCGATGCAGGGCTTGATCCGAGGACCCTGGGATCATGACCTGAGCCAAAGGCAGATGCCTAACGACTGAGCCACCCATGCGCTCCTTTTTTCCTTTTTAATGTACATACCTTTTGTTTCTCCTGACTACACTGAAGGGATTGGAGACTGTAATATGGTTTCTTCTCTATGTAACTTATTAGATGTTCGGTAAATACAAAGTATTTGGTGGCTATATCAAATCCACTGTCCAGTATATTCCACAGGAAATGTAGTATAACCATACAATCAATGCCTCATCACTCTCAGATGGCAACTCACCATCTCCATGTAAGAGGTAAAAGACATCTCCTGAATCCAAATAATTTCTTCACTTACACTGTTAATAATGACATCATGACCTGTACAAGATATCCGTAGTTTTGCCCACATGGATCTCTTTCCTCTTCTTTTGTGACAATAAATCCATCTCCTCTGGAGACTCACTGTCTACCTCTGCATTAAGTCTCAATGGGAACATCCTTCAATACTTTTCACCCTCCTCTGACAAGGTGGAACCTCTGGCATCTCGTGGAACCTCAGTGGGCTGGACAATTCAATTCTTTCTGTGAGTAACAAACCAAAGGGAGACCATTCCAGAGCAGATTCAAAAGGACCCCTGTCACTTAGATCCCTTGAGCCACCCTTGTTTGGACTCCTTTCAGAGGTGTAGGTGTTCATCCACCCTGTATCATTTCAAAGAAATTCCTTTCTTCCTTAAATCAGCTGGAGTTGGTTTCACAGCTTGCAAACAATGAACTCTAACTGAAAAGCCTTTGCCTCTGTTAGCTCTTTTAAGCGTCTAGGTCTACGGCATACACCATATGTTTAGATTTTTACTGCATGGTAGAAATCATATCCACAAAGTACCCAATACAGGCAACTTGCTCGGATCTAAAGTGATTTAGGTACGTAACTGTTGGTGAAACATTAATCTCCAATTGTTTGGTGGAACAGATTTCTAGAATTGTACTCATCCTAAAGGTAAAAGCTACAGATTCAAGAACCTGGGGCAACTTAGCAACAACCAAGAAGCATTTACTGCACACATTTTTCTAAGAGTTTCTCATTTTCCTCAGATTTTTCCCCATACATTTCAACTTATGAATCTCACCCTTAAAAATTCAGAAACAATGATTTTTTTTCTTCAAATGTATATGAATGTCAAATCTACTTTCATGTCTTACAGTTAGTTTTCCATTTTCTCAACTGAAAAAAAAATGGAAAGTTTTAGTCTTATCATTAGAAATTGTTTGGTTCTTAGTTAAGATACTATAACTGGGGTTGCTACTTACACCAAAATCTAAGGTCTTGTAGGGCTGGGACTGTTAATGTGTCTTGCCTGATGCCCCTAATTCAGTGACAGGATCACAGTAATATTCCTATTAATGTATTAATCCAAATTAGTGCTTTAACGTTAACTATCAACTTGCATTTTTAAAGGGTAAATTTTATTACCTGTCAATGAGGCAAACCAGTTAATTCTGGGCACAATTACACGTTTCCCCTAAAAATGTTTTAATATACTTAAGCAAAGATTTCACTCTGTACTATATAGTTTGTAAACTAGGCCTTTGTTTTTGTTTTGTTTTTAGTAATCTGGTTTGGAGCCATTAAGTAAGGCGATTTAAAAATCCTTCCATGCCTATCACGCTTACATTCAAAGTATCACGACACTGTTTTTCTCCAATGCGGGTTTCTAGGCAATGATGCGACAAGTCCGCCCGTGGGACGCCGGCGGCCGGTCTGCATGTCGCAGCTGCTCCAGATCCAAAGCCCTCTAAAGCCAACGCCGGGAACCCATGACGAGGGAGACTGGCCCCCCGCGCCCCCGGACGTGTGAGCTGAGCCAAGCGGCCCGGCTCAGAGAAGCGCCCCGAGTGAGGGCTGTCAGGTCAGACGCGCATCACGTGAAGCTCCCAGTTCCGGGATCAAAGACGCGCGCCGCACGTGGGCTGGGCGCCCGCCAGGGACCCCCGCATCCGCGCACCCACCGCCCAGCACACTACCCGGCCTCCACCCGGGAAAATAAGCCCAGAGCCGGCGCGTCGCGGACCCCACTGCCTCCTGGGTGTCTTGTCCCAGGACCCCGCACCCCTGGCCAGCCCCGCGCAGGAAGCGCCGCCTCCGGCCGCGGCCGCACCGGTTAAGGGTGGCTTCCCCCGGCAGTCTCCGCCCCGCGCGCCCAGCAAAGGAAGAAAGGGGTTCCGGGGCCAGCCTCCCTCCACTTCCGCGCACTCACGTCCTCCATCCTGCCCCTCGAAGCCATTTCCCGAAGCCTGAGGCCGAAGCCCCGGCCGGGCAGGCGGGCCTTTCCACCTGGGGCCCGCGCCGCCGGCCCAGGAAAATTGCCACCTTCTAGGACTCAGCCTCCCCACTTCAGACACACCCCTCCTGCTCCCGTTCCGCCTCCGGCTGGCCCAGAACCCCGCCTCCTCGCTCCCGATTGGCCTAGGTGTGGGGGCGTGTTCCGCCCCGAAACCCCGGTCGGTGGGCCGCAGGGGCTGCACCCGCCTCCTGGTTTCCGGGGGTTCCAGCAATCTCCGCTCAGGTCCGCTATTGGCCAGAGACTTGAACATTTAAAGGTTGCGTTCCGAATCCAAGAATTTAACTATTTTTGCCGCCGCTTGCTTCTTTTTAAAAACATTAATTTTTCCGGTCTTCCTTAGTTTTTGTTTGCAAGCACGGCTCCATGCATAAGTAGAAGCAGCTATAGAATCCTACCGCTGCCATTTATAACTCGAAACTCCACCAGTAGAGTGATACGACTCCAGAATAAAGATTCTAATTTACATGGCATATTTACAGATTGCGCTAATGGGAAATGAAGTAGTTCGGAATTTTTAGGGTTTTTGTTTCTTTTTAACGTAATAAATAAAACAGAAAACTTTTCTGAAAATCCATGATCGTTGTAAAAATGTAAAGAAAGTAAAAAAAAAAAAATTTTATAAAGATTTTATTTATTTGACAGAGAGAGACAAAGCCAGAGAGGGAACACAAGCAGGGGAAGTGGGAGAGGGAGAAGCAGGCTTCTGGCTGAGCAGGGAGCCCGATGTGGGGCTTGATCCCAGGACGTTGGGATCATGACCCCAGCGGAAGCAGACGCTCAAGGACTGAACCACCCAGGCGCCCCAAAGTAAAAAATTTTAACGTCAGTTCCCTGAGCTAACCCTGCTACTACTTACTAGGGGTATGATCTTGGGCACCTCAATTAAATTCTCTAGGAGTCAGTTTCCTCATCTGTAAAAATGGAACTGTTACTAGATCCAATTTTGGAGGGATTTTTTATTAAATGAAATAATGCATTTAATGCTCTTGGCACAGTGTTGTCTCTGGGCACTCAAAATGTTAGTCACTTTCTTGTGTAAATCAGGTTTATTAAAGCATTATTAACATATATAGTCACTGTTTTAATAGTACATTAAAATATTACATTATTCAAATAGTTCAGTAAATCTTTTTTTCTGGAGGTTGAAATTTTTCAAAATAAAAATAGTGGGGGGGAAGATGATGGTGCACTTGGTCTGCTAAAAGCCTTTAGGGTAGGAATAATCTGTGATTACCCTCTATAAACCAGGAGGGAGCAATGGTGTCAGGAAATAGAATTCTGAACTTTGCAAATTTTATAGGAGTGGATTGGTAGAGGAGAGAGGTTGTCAGGCTAGGAGCTGTGCTTCAGTAGGAGGCTGTGACCTCCAGAGATTAGAAAGAGCAGGAGAAAAGGTTGCCCTATGGAAAGGCAAGGGTGACTATTTAGAAGGAAGAAAAAGATTTATCTTTGCCTCAGCATTTTCTTTAGGCCTAGCCATGAAATCATAGTTATGTTTGCTACGTCTAGGTCAAAAGTTAGAAATAAAGAAAAATATATGATTGCCACTAAAAGTCATTGATATTCATACTCAGGGAATATAAATGGAAACAATCAATGGGTTAGGGGCAGGAATACAGTTCTGTGGAACTCTCTCCAAAAATTCCAAAAGGAATTTTTGTAGAACTCAGGCACAGATGATATGTATGGGGAATGAAAACTTAGTCATCATTAGGAAAGATTATTAACATGTCCATATAATGTTCTAGTGTTGGTCAAAGCAATTCAAATAAGCAAAGCCCTGTAAAGAAATTATATTTATAAAGGTATGTGACATTTCACTGTTGCATGATTGAAATATTTTTAGTGAAAGTTCTTGCGTTTGTTCACCTTGAGGAATAAGAAGACAGAAAGAACCCATTTCTCTGCCAAATAGTTCACCTTTAGATTTGGGTCTGAAGCTCTATCTTTCCTATAAGTGTTATCACCATCAACATTATTTTGAGTACAGTGCTTAGCCCGATCACAGATATTGAAGTGTTAATATCTCATTTTTTTAAACATCAGTATCAAATGTGTCCTTAATTCACTTTATAATGTTATTAATACAACTTCCATTATTCATCCTACCATAATATCATGTATCATGTAAACAGTAGGTGCTTAATTAATATTTATTATTGATTTTAAAGTGAGATCTCATTAGCTACTAATACTGATTTTAACTTGGTTTTTTAATCAAATTTTAGATTGAGTCAATCCTAGCTAGACTTTTCTACAATTCTCTTAAGCTTACCTGTACCTCTGTCAGAAATGCACTTATCCCAAACTCTGGCTTTGGATAATGTTCTGTAGCTAAGTCTCTCTTAGATACCCAGAGAGATGCTGCTGACACTTTCCCTTTCAATGAACAGACAGAAAAGTAAGTCAACAGTTATTTTAGTATATCAAATTAGTTTGGCTTATATACTTTTCCTAGAAATTTTTTTTTCTAGAAAGAAATTTAAGGATATTGTGAGCAATTGGAAATATTCTGCGGTTTCCATTTATTAGTTCCATAAATATTTGGGCCTTTGAGAGCACCAGGTCCCTCAAATAGAATCCGATTGTAACCAAACACTTCAAATTTGGATGAAAAAGTGTATTAGATGTCCTCAGAACCTATGAAATTTCAGACTTGTTACCCATCACCTCCTCCCATGTTATTGGTTTGTATTCTCCTAAAGAAAGTCCTTGTACTGACATTTAAAAACACACTTGTTTCTGAAGGCAGAAAAATTTATTTTAGTTTCACTGACTAATTCAGGAGTGGGAGAACAAATTTGCTAAAACTTCCAAAAATAATTTATCTTTGGATAGATACCAAATATGTGAAGTTTTAGACCAAAAAAAATTGTTTCTTTTAAAGTTTTAGAAAAACAGGGCCTCCTGGTGGCTCAGTCAGTTAAGCGTCTGCCTTCAGCTGAGATCATGATCTTGGGGTCCTGGGATCGAGCCCTGCATCGGGCTCCCTTGCTCAGCGGGAAATCTGCTTCTCCTTCTCCCTCTGCCCCTCTCCCCCCACTATGTTCTCTCGCTCTCTCTCTCAAATAAATAAATAAAATCTAAAGTTTTAGAAAAACATTTATGGAAACTTAGGATGAAAATGAATTTTGTAACCTTCATGAAAATCAAGGCTCCTACTTAGTAATTCTTGAGCTAATTTCATCTGATCTCTGCTCTCTTCTGATTCTACTCTAATGCTAAGTGCCAGTTTCTGTAATCCAGCCAAGTTAGGTTTCAGCATTTTCATGGGAGGATTTCCTTATTTCAGAATAACTAGAAGATGGGGCTTTAAGTTTTTTTCAGTGATGTCTCATTTAATTAAGTTCTAGACATGTAAGAAGTAAAATTTTTGTTTTAAAGTACAATTCATAATTCTGTGTGTTGAAGTTTGAAGCACATTTGAAAGTGTCCTCCAGGGGCGCCTGGGTGGCTCAGTCGTTAAGCCTCTGCCTTCGGCTCAGGTCATGATCCTGGGGTCCTGGGATTGAGCCCCACATCGGGCTCCCTGCTCAGCGGGAAGCCTGCTTCTCCCTCTCTCACTCCCCCTACTTGTGTTCACTCTCTCACTGTGTCTCTCTCTGTCAAATAAATAAATAAAATCTTTTTTTTTTTTTAAAGTGTCCCCCAATAACTTATAAAATAATTATGTTGATTTTCCAATATTTAGAAAACCTTATAACTTCCAATTATCTGAAGTTGTTTGAACCAAGGTGAAATAAGCTAGGATATGCAATGATTTGTTGTTTACAACACCTTTGTTAATATAAGATGTGGATTTATTCCTTAAAGTAAATGAAAAGTAAGTTACTTACAGTGTTAAAAAGGAGACAAAACAAAAGACAAAAACAAATAATATGTAAATTTGTACATGAGTGTGTGTATGCCCTGCCTTTCCTTAAGAAGCATCCTAGGTGCAGTGTTTCTATGGGCATGACTATGTACAAAATTTTCAAAAATTTTCATTTGAAAACGACATACTGTTTTGGTCCTTATGATAGTCCTCAGAGCTGGGGTTGTGTAATATTACTACTTGCATTTTACAGTTGAGAAAATTGGTAAGAGAATTTAAATGACTTGCCCAAGGTGACTTGTTAATAATAGAGAAAATTGGAGTTTGATTTTATGTTCGGTACTCACTTATTCATTTATTCATTCATCAATAAACACTTATTAAAGGCCTCCAATATGGGACACTGGTAGGCTCTGTAGGAAACTAAAAAAATCAGTAGATTCTATGTTTCCTTTTCTATTCCTTGCTTCCTGGCTAGTCTTTGTAAATGCTGATCTCAAATTTGCCTAGCCTCTTGTCTTTAGAATGAACCTCCACATGGACTGAGTAAATTATACTCACAAGTTCCCACTGGGCCTCAGCTTTCTCCTAACTATGCTCTATTACTATGTTCTGGTCTCCAACATCAGTCCAATTCTCTGGTATCTCCTGTCAACCCTTTCCCATTTCCTTTTCTATTCTTAGACCCGACAGTTGAAAGGGGTTCCTGGACATTCTGATGTGGGTTTGAAGTAGGGCAGGAGCAAAAACAAACTTTTGGAGAACGAGGAAATAATTTCTTTATGGATGAAGTGGCAACTGAGTTGGCTTTCACAGAGAAAACTACAAAGGGAGGGATACTTGGACCGCAGGCCGTGAGTAAAGAACCCAAATTAGAAGCTATAGTCTTGCACACTGAGCTGAGCGGTAGCTCCCTAATTTGGCTCTGATTCAGTTCTGAGAGATAAGTAGTCTTCACTCTTTTAGGAAACTTACTCTCAGAGACTGTCTTTGCCTATTTAACCCTTGTGGGAGTAAAAAAGGTCCTACTCCCTTTTCTTTTTTTAAGATTTTATTTATTTATTTGAGAGAGAGAGAGCATGAGTGGAGAGGGAGGGGCAGAGGGAGAAGCAGGCTCCCCACTGAG